GAGCTGAGAATGGAAGCCCCCTGAGGGAAGGCACAGTAGGCACTTCAAGAATGCCTGTTGGCTGCTCGACACATTGGGGCGGCACCAGGGACCCTGGGATGGGTACAGGCGCCGGCCTGGAGACCTCTGAAATCCATGGTGGGGTGGGAAGTGAAGGTCCTAATGAACAAAGGCACGGCCCCTTTAAGAGGAAAGCGCGGGAGCGCCGGGGAGGCGGGGCTCCCACAGACACGTGCGGACTTTGCTTACCCCGGGAAGGCGCCTCACGTGACGGGGGTGGCGCGCTGGCTGGGCCGAGAGCGTCACGTGACGGAGGCGGTGCGTGGGGCGGGGCCACGAGCACTTCTCCGCCTCCCGGGCGCGCCCGGCCAGAGGAGGCGGCGGCGGTGGCGGCAGCAGCGCGATGGACGGCTACGGGGAGCAGCCGCGAGGCGGTGGCGATCCGGGTACGGAGAGCGCTCGCGGGAGCGGCCGGGCCGGGCCGGGGGCCGGGGGCGCGGCGGCTCCGGGTGCTGGGTTCCGGCCCGCGGCTCCCCCGCCGGCCGGGCCTGCCCAGACTTGCCGCTGCTCCGGGGGCCGGCCGGGAGGGAGGGGCGGAGGGCTCCTCGGCCCAGTGGGCGTCCCAGCCCGCCGACCCCCGGTGTCTTCCTTCCCGCAGAGGCCACGAGCAGTGAGCAGATCATGAGGACCGGGGCCGTGCTGCTGCAGGGGTGAGCCGGGGGCCGGGGGGTGCCCGCGCGCCGGGAGGGGGCTCCGGGGACCGGAAGGCGCCGAGGCTGCGCTGAGCCCCCCACTCTCCGCGCAGGTTCATCCAGGACCGCGCGGGCCGGGTGGCTGGGGGCGCCCCCGAGCTGGTCCTGGATTCCATGGGAGACTCGGCCCCGCTGCCCTCGGACCCCCGGACCAAGCGGCTGACCGAGTGCCTGCGCAGGATCGGGGACGAGCTGGACAGCAACATGGAGCTGCAGAGGTAGCCGCTGCCCTGGCCTGGCCGGCCCTCCGCCGCCCGTGCGGCCCCCAGCCCCTCTGAATGGCTCCCTCCCCCCCGCAGGATGATCGCCGCGGTGGAGACCGACTCTCCCCGGGAGGTCTTTTTCCGAGTGGCCGCCGAGATGTTCTCCGACGGCAACTTCAACTGGGGCCGGGTCGTGGCCCTCTTCTATTTTGCTAGCAAGCTTGTGCTCAAGGTGTGAGGGGGGGGCGGAGGGGAGGGGCTCGCGGCTGGGCAGACCTCCCTGCTGCCGGGGCTCCTGCAGAGCTGCCCTGGGCTGGTTGGACGGGCTGCACTCCCGACCTCCTTTCCTCCCTCCTCTGGCCAGGCACTCTGCACCAAGGTCCCGGAGCTGATCCGAACCATCATGGGCTGGACCCTAGACTTCCTGAGAGAACGGCTGCTCACCTGGATCCAGGAGCAGGGTGGCTGGGTGAGCACACCCCCCCTTGACCTCCCAGTGACCTCACGTACTTAATGCCCCCCCCTTCCCAGGGCCTCCCCTTTCTTGACCTCCTTGCCCCTCCAGCCTTCCTTCCCCCTCTCTCCTGGAGAGCCCTAACTTCCTGGTAATCTCCTTGGCTCTTTCCCTAGGATGGCCTCCTCTCTTACTTTGGGACACCAACCTGGCAGACAGTTACCATCTTCGTGGCTGGCATCCTTACAGCTTCGCTTACCATCTGGAAGATGTCCTAGGGGGGGCTTGGGGGCCTGGCTGCCCCCACCCTCATTCCAGCTCTGCTTGGACTGTTTTTAGGATAAATTATGGGTTTTCCATTATGGGGGGGGAGGGAAACACATTTTTCTTACTTTTGTAATTATTTTGGGGAGTATCCCAGTGACTTTGGCAGTGCCCCAAAGCTGGATGTTCTCAAGCTGCTGGCTACGGGGTGGTGGGGTGAGTAGTAGCCTTGGCCAATAAACACCAACTCTGGAGCAGGCCCTGCTGCAATGCCTCTATTTTTGAGGACCTCCCCCCCCCCCCCGCTCCTGCCTCATTTATCCCCTTCTGCAAAATGAATCATAGTTGGCATAGAGAGTGCCCAGAGTGTGACAGGCTTCTTAGGTAAGCCCTCAGTTTTCTCTTCTGTAAAATAGTGGGCCAGGTGAAGCAGGGAGCTTCCTACATCTGGGCCTGGCCCAGTTAACTTCCCTGTTGGCTCCTGGCTCCAGTGTGGCTGGGGTGGGAAGGTGGGGCCTGGCTGTGGTCAAAGGCCAGGCAGGAAGGTCTCTGATGAGTCTGAGTTGGGGGGGGTTGGTAAATGGATAAACCTGAACCCCAAGGCCTGAAGCTGTTTTGTTCCCCTCTGCTGGCCAGCAAGACAACTGCCCTTTCTCAGCAGTCCCAACTGACACCAAGGCTTGGAGGCAGAGGAAAAAAGCACCCAGAAAGTCAGGGAGCTGGAGACTAAGAGCCACTCTCAGGCCCCCCCCTGGAGAGGCAGGAAGGCTCACTGAGGGCCTGCTTTATGGGGATTAGTCAGCCAGTCCACAGGCATGGGTCAGGCTGGGGACACAGAGGCTGGCCTCCAGAGGAAGAAGACAACACAGAGACATGCCCCGCAGTCACACATACAAATACATGTGTACATATGTGTATGAGACTAGGCAACATAAATGGGAGCTGGGCAAGCATGGGCTCGGCTGGAGGGAAAGCCCACCAAGGGCATACCAACAGACTTAAGCCAGCATCTCTGGGGGTGGGCTGGAGGCTTCCCTGGAAGCAGGAGACCCTCTCAACTGCATCAGGGATGGTTTGTGCCCTAGCCCAGCCTCCACTCCTCCCCCCAGAACAGCAAAGAGGAAGTTCTATTAGCGGGGAATGCCCGACTCCCCCCCACCCCAACACCAGGGCTGGTCTCAGCATGACTCAGCGCTGTCCCCTCTCCCTGATCTCAGCGTGACTCATCTCGGACGTCTGCCACCCCCCAATTCCTAACCCTAAACCCTTTCGATTCCCCACCTCGCCATCCACCCATATTCTCCCCAAATCCCTCAGTCCCCTTCTGTCCAGGGAAGCCACGGTCGAAGTGGAAGCTGAACTCTCTGAGGGAGGAATCCTAGGACCTGGGTTCAAGTGTTGCTTCTGATGCCCACTGTCTGTTCTCTCAGGCAAGTCCTGAACCTTCTCTGAGGTTTCGGTCTCCGCTTGGGTCAATCGGGGGCCGGAGCGAGGCCCTGCGAGACCGCTCATCGACCAGCCCTTTTGTCCCCCAGACCTCGCAGCCCTGGGCCTCCCATAAGTTTTGAACTTGCTCTGCACCCACACGTGACCTTCCCTGAACGCGCGATTCCCTTCCCCCCTTTCCCGCCTCTGCTCGCCCACCTCCAGCCCGCGCCCCCCCATTGGCGGCCTGATCCTGGGCTCTCGTTCCGTGCCTCAGGATTGGGCCGTGGCCCCGTAGGTCCCGCCCCCTGAGCCCCGCCCCCGATCCTGCTTGCTATAAGTACTCGGTCCCGGGCAGCCCCTTCACACCGCGTATCCCCCGCTCTGGTTCTTGCTTCAACAGTGTTTGGACGGAACAGATCCGGGGTCCCCCAGCTCCCCTCGCTTTTTGGCCTTCGCTTTTCTGCAGTTCGCTAGCTCCTGGGACCATCCTACCCCCGCCTCCGGGACCAGCCACCCCCCGCCTCAGGGACCAGCAACCGCCTCCACCTTCGCCGTCGGTGCCATGAGCTCCACCTCCCAGATCCGCCAAAACTTCTCCTCTGAGGCCGAGGCCGCTGTCAACCGCCTGGCCAACCTGTACCTGCAGGCCTCCTACTCCTACCTGTCCCTGGTGAGGCTCGGGGCGCCTCCCCTCCCCTGATTTCCTCTGCGGTCAGGACCCCCTCCCCGGGCCCCCTTGTGCCCCTTGCACTCGCAGGGACTGCGCATGCTCACCCCCCCCCCCCCGCGCGCCTCTCGCTGCCTTCGAGTTTTCTTCGCTCTGCCGCGCGCCCTTTGTTCTTGTTTAACTGGGACAGGAAAAGCTCAGGGGTGGTGCCGTCCGGGCCTGGTGGTGCGCATGCGTGCACTTGGCCGGGGCGCTCACCAGCTTCTGCTTTCCCTAGGGTTTTTACTTCGACCGGGACGATGTCGCCCTGCCTAGGGTGTCGAGTTTTTTCCGTGAGCTGGCAAAGGGCAAACGCGAGGGCGCCGAGCGCCTTATGCGGCTCCAGAACCAGCGTGGGGGCCGCGTCCTCCTCCAGGCTGTGCAGGTGGGTAGCGGACAGGCTGTGTACTACATTTCCCAGACGCCTCTGCAGAGATACCCTGGTGGAAGCCGCTGGGCCGCCCCCAAAGGTTTCTGGGAAATGAAGTTCTTTGGAGTTTCCTGTCCCTGAGCCTTCTCTTCTCTCCCAGAAACCTGCCCAAGACGAGTGGGGCCGCAGCTTAGATGCCATGCAGGCTGCCCTGAACCTGGAGAAGGGCCTGAATCAAGCCCTCCTGAAGCTGCACGCCCTGGGCTCGAGCCAAGGGGATCCACACGTAAGTAGCCCAGAGGACTCCCGGCTTGGCACAGGACCCAGTTCTGCTGCCTCCTGCCCAGCCTTCACCGGTCCCTCTCCCCTTTCCTAGCTCTGCGACTTCCTGGAGAGCCACTACCTGGCCGAGGAGGTGAAGCTGCTGAAGCACCTGGGCAACCACCTGACCACCTTGCGCCACCTGCAGGTGGACCCCCAGTCCGGGCTGGGCGAGTACCTATTTGAGAGGCTGAGCCTGAAGCATGACTAAAGAGCAGCCGGACAGGCAGCTCCAAGGCGGAAGCGAGAACACAGTACTATGCCTACAATAAAGCTAGCTGCTCACCTACCACCTCTGCGCGATTCCTTGGGGCAGTGGGTGGTTGGGGTGGACTGGATGGTCAAGATCATCAAGCTTTAACCACAACCTCTTTTGGGAGGGTTCAGGGCTGGACTCTTGGGTTGGAAGTAAGGCAAAGCTGGCTCCTTAAACACCAGCATCTTCCAGGCCCAGGTGCCTGGTTGCAAAGCACAGCACTGGAGGCAGTTGGTGCACGGGAAGGTCAGTGGTGGAGAAAAACCTTTTATTCTTTAAACATATAGGCCTTTTCATCCCTGGAAGGATAATTAATTCCCCAGCTATTGGCCCTCCCCCTGGGCTGGGGGTTGTCACAGACATTGCACACACACACACACACACACAGATACACATAAAGCCCTTGGTCTTGAGCATAGCCAGGTTCTAGGGTAGTGGGGACAGGCCAAGGGTGTAGGTGGGGATCATCTGGGAGTGCATGATAGTGAAACTGCCAAGAGCCGCAGGGGCCACCAGGGAGAGGGTGGCAGGTCCCGGTCTGGGGCAGGGGCCTGCCTGGAGTGTACCACAGGAGCTGCCAAGCCAGGGTGCTTACTGTCCTCTAAAATGTGGATGATGGAATTCTCACAGAGGGGACATAGGCAGCTCAGTTCTAGAATAAAGTGGTCCTGGAAACTGGGGCCCCTGGAGTTCTAGAGCAGAGACTGGTAGAAAGGTGGGAGGTCTTGGGGACCCTCCCTTAAGGCATCCCTTAGGAAGCAGGCTCTAGAAGACGTTACACAGCCTGTGCAGAACAGATGGGGCTGTCTGGATTTAGAATCAAGGAGCTGGCGGCCTGGGGCCAGGAGGAAGGGAGGGAGAGCCTGGCAGGCCCTACTTAATTGCGCTCCTCACCCAGAGAGCTGGCAGGGCTGAGGGGCTCACTGGGCGTGCTGGGAGAACTGGAGGGGGCTGTATCCACAGAGCCCCTCTTGGCAGCTGAGGCCCGCCGGGACCAGTCAGGAGCACGAATGTTCCTTCGGTCTTTTTCGGCTTCCTCATCCTCATTGTAGCGTTCACTGTCCTCCTCGTAGCCTGGCTTGCGGGGGCCATTCTCCTCCCCCTCTTCCTCTTCTTCCCCCTCACTCTGGTGGGGGCTGGAGTGGCGAGACAGTGAAGGTGATGGGGGCACTGAGGCTGGCCGTGGGTAACGGAAGCCCTGTGTCTGGAGGAGGAAGGGGGTAGTGAAAGGCTGTGGCAGGTCCCCTAGGCCCAGGCCCCAGTCTTCCTTCGGGCATCTCCCTCCCTCAGAACCCCAGCTACTCACAGCATCAGCATCATGAGGCTCATATGTGAAATGATCTGGGAAGGCCCTGGCCAGGGCCATGTGGCGGGCGAACATGTAATACTAGGGGATGAGGAGAAGGGGAGGATTAGCCAGGGGCAGACTGATGGAGAGTTTGCTCTGCCCTGGGACTGTGGGGCCTTGAGCTGGGGAGCAGAGGAGCATGGGGGAGGGGTCCTACCCGGCCTAGATACTTCCAGTCCAGCAGATCAGAGAGCCGTTCCGTGCGGTTCCGCTGAATGATCCGCTGCCTCCGGCTCTGCTGGCAGAAACTGTACAGGAATGAGGTCAGCTGGGTGCAGGAGTCGTCCAGGCTTCGGAACCTCCGGTCAAGGATGTAGATGCCTAGAGACATGAGGGGGTCACTCAGGTGGGGAGGGGAGGGACTCGAGCCTTGCCAGCGTGCTCTCACCTGAAGGTACCCACCGTAGGCAGAGGGGTCCGCAATGTGTTCCTCCATGAAGCAGCCGAAACCAGAGAGGTTGGTGGAGATGCTTGGGATCCCCATGACAGTGCATTCCGCTGGGGAAGAGGGGGGGTTGGTGAGGGACCCCTGAACGGCACCCCGGCCTACCCCACTCCAGCCTCCACCCCAGCCCTGCTGGCCGCTCCCCTCACCAGGCGTGTAGCCCCAGGGCTCGTAGTAGGAGGGGAAAACTCCCAGGTGGCAGCCCCGGACAAACTCCTCATAGTCTACTGGGAGCAGGGGACTGGTGGAGGAGAGGAACTCCGGATGAAAGATCACCTGGGGTTTGAGAGAGGGGCGGAAGAGAGGGGGAGGGAGAAAGAAAAGGAGAGGGAGGGAGAGAGAGAAGAGGGGGAAGAGAGGGGGAGAGGGAGGGAGAAAGAAGGGGAGAGGGAGGAAGAGAGGAGGAAGAGAGAGAGAAGAAGAGAGAGGGAGAGGGAGGGAGAAAGAGAAGAGGGGGAGAGGGAGAGAGAGAGAGGAGGAAGAGAGAGAGGGAAGAGGAGGGTGGTTAAGCCAAGGACCCAGGGAGGGTGGGACTCCTGGCTTTATGGGGTAGGGCCAAGGGTCTTCCCTCAGAAGGTTAGTCAATTTCACAGGGGATCCTCCCCCTATAAGGTCCTCTTTGCTTGCTCAGGAGTGTAGTGAGACAGCCTCTTGACGGGGCTTGCCCGGCCAGAAGGGCTGCAGGACATCACCTTGACCCGATCAGTGCTGCTGTTGAAGAGGCCTATGCGGCGGATGGTAGTAAGGATGGGGTCCGAGGAGTCATCCAGCATGTTGTGGGTGCACACAGGGGGGAAGGACTGCCGCTGAGGGGAGCAGGAGAGCCCGTCAGGGGTCAGGCGGCCTGGAGCGCCCCAGACCCTGGCACCGGCTACCCGGCAGAGGGCCATACCTGTGTGGCGAAGATGGCTCTCTTCATCATGGTGAAATCCTCCTTGTCCAGCATCTTGTTCATGTCTGGGAGGCTGCCACTGCAGGGGGGCAGGGGGCAGGGTCAGGGCAGCAGCCAGAGGGGAAGGGCAGAGGTGGGGAGGGAAGACCCCAGGCCCCATCCCACCCCGTTAGCCCCATCACTCACACCAGAAGGGATTCGTAGAGCTTTCTCCCAAACTTCTCCTTCACTGTGTTGGCCGTGTCCCTGTGGGGGGCAAAGTAGGCTTCATCATCAAAGGAGCCCTCCCGGAGGGCCCAAGGAGGAGGAAGAAGAAAGGGGCTTGGGAGAGAAAGGAGGCGAGCCCAGCCAGGGCCCTGCAGAAAGAGGAAGCAGAAGCTGGGCTGACGGGGGCGGGGCTCACCAGAGCTGCTTCCGCACGGCCTGGCCCTTGAGGGTCTCCACGTTGAAGTTGTTGGTTCTCGCAGGCATGATAAGAAGGCCACCACGGTCTGCTCACTGCCATTCACCTGCGGGGCAGGGAGGAGGGAGGGGGTCAGGGCTTCCCCCCTGCCCCCGTGGGCACCCCCATCCCTGACCAGCACCCCACAGGCGCCTGACCCTGAGCAGGTAGTTGAGGCGGGCCAGGGCCTCCAGGAAGACATCGGCGCCCTTGTTGGAGAACTCGTAGCGGCCGGCGATGAAGAAGTATAGGGTCTTGTCCAGATTGAAGTCCAGGTGGCTGGGGGGAGGACTTCCTCGGTCACCCCTAACGTGGTGACCACAGAGCCCCACCCAGAATCCCCAGGAGAGAGCGATTCCCGGGCATTTCTGAAGGGCCCACTGAGCGCCTGCTCCTCGGAGGGGGCTCCTCACCCATAGAAATGGCCCCTCACAAACTCCTGGATCCGAGCCTTGCTCTGGGCATGCAGGTTCTGAAACTCATGCATAGCCGAGAACTTCTTCACATTGAGTCCGTTGGGGGTCACGATATCTGGGCAGAGGAGAGCCAGCAGTCACCGAGGCGCTCAGGACCCCGCTCACCCTGGGCACAACCTCCCAGAACCCAGCCCTGACCTTGCATGTAGAGTAGAGGGACAGCAGCAGGGGCTGCTGGAAGCAAGCATTCATTACAATGGGCTGAGCTGGGCTGTGCTTGGAGGCCCCCCCTTTCTGAGGACCCTGGGGCAGACAGGCAGGGCTTAGACAACCCAAGGCCAGGCCATGGGCAGAACTCCGGGGGACAGCCCACTCCTCACCTGGCTTCCTCTTCAGCAGATGCTGTGCCTCGATGGCTGTGATCTGGGACACGGTGGTGAAGACGTGAGCACAGTGGGCAGCTGCTCTTTCCATGCAGTACCGGTGGTAGATCTGCCGCTCCCCTGCCTCCTTGTCCACGTTGAACTGCAGGGCGGAGCACAGAGCTCAGCAGCCCAGGCCTCTCCTGGCCACCCCCCGGTCCCTACCCGGGGGGCCCCCTCACATTTTCCAGATTGTTGTAGAAGTCCACGGCCCCGGCGCAGAGGTAGCGGCCCAGCAGCGTGGCGTGCGTGGTGAAGATGGTGGCCACTGGCAGCTTCCGGGCCCTGCATAGGCACAGGCCCACCCCCGCCAGCCACTCGTGGAAATGGCCCACGATGAACGGCTTCTCTTCACTCTGCGCCCAAAACTGCAAAAGAGACAGAGGGTCCCGCCGGTGTGCACTCCTTCAGCCCCAGGGCCCGCAGGGAGGCTGGGAGAGGGAGGAAGCAGGGCCAGGGTGCTGGCCCCTTGGGTCCCTACCTCACCCAGGAACCAAGTGGTGAGAAAACCAAAGAGAACTGCGTCGTTGGCTTCACGGTCGTACCAGGGGACCCCGATACTGCAGGTGTCCCAGAGCTCGCCCTTCCACCGCTCCAGGGCCCAGGCGGCAGCCCCCACGTCCAGCAGCACCACGGGGGGGCTGCCCTCAATCAGCCAGCGGCCGAAGTACACCTGGGGGGATATGGGCATGTGGGCAGGGCCCAGGTCCCCTCCCATCTCCTCCCCATCCCCTTCCAATGTCAAGCTGTCAAGCCAAGACCTCCCTTTCTATCATATCAGCTTAGTTCAAACAAGGGTGGCTGATAAGGAAGGCCTCTTTGTCCACCACCTCAGAGCTCCCTGGGGGCTGGGAGGTGCCTGCTGACCCCCTCACCCCCACCTCCCCGCAGCCAACCCATCCATGCCTCCATCCCTTGCCCCTACCCCCTCCCTGTGGCAGTGCCCCCCGCCTCCCTTGCCTGCTGCCTTCTCTAAATCTGGGTTTCCCCCTGGCAGAGAGGCCTATAGCCCCTCCCCCCTCCCAGCTGTTTGCTGCCCTTTCCACAGCAGGGGGAGATGGGGGCTATTCTTAGGCTGTGACCCTGCCCTCCTCCCATCACATGGCCAGCACCTGCCTGGGGGTGGGTAGGTGCACTCTGGGGTTCTCTGGGGACAGGCCCACGCCCGGGGCTTTAGCCCTTCTGCTGTCCGGAACAGACCCAGAAAGCCCCAGTGTGACAGTTCCCTGGCCTCCACCCAGGCACCGGCAGAGCACAGGCATATGTGGTAGGGCTGTGCCCCAGAAAACACTGGGCTTTAGCGCTATGCCTGCTGTGTCTACACCATCCCCGGGTGACCTTGAGTGAGCCCCCGGCCCCGTCTGGGCCCGTTTCCCCTCCTACCTTGCAGCCCTTGCTGTTCATGGAATCCAGGGTCTTGCGCAGGGCTGGGGTGGGGGGCTCCAGGAGCTCCACCTGGGTCCGCACTCCCTGCTCTGTGTAGGGCCCCACCAGGTAGTAGTTATCCCCCCACTCGTCACCGGTCACCTTGGCTTTGGTCTGAAGCACGGTGTAGATGCCCCCCACTGCCAGAGAGCTCGGGTCAGGCCCTTCCTGGGGGAGGAGGCTGGCCCACCAGTCACTTCTTTCCTGCTCCCTGCTCCCTCCCACATTTTCCCCAGGGCCCTCACCCTTCCCTGGGCCTGCCAGGACTTCCCTCATTCTGGCTGGCTGGTCTCAGCATCCCTACTGCTCAAAGTGTCCGAGTATTTCCCAGTCCTCAGGAGCCCGGCATCTCGGCTAGCCTCAAGGCACCAGGACTCAGCATCAGGGGCACCCCTACAGCCCGGGGCTTGCTGGCAGTCCCCCTACCCCAAGCGCACTGCCCCCAGTCCCTCTCTCTGAGCTCTCTGTCCCGCAGCCCAGCCTCCCCCCCAGAGCCCTGCAGGGCTGGAGTCCCCCACCTCTGTGCATCCTATGCACCCCAGCCCCATGCTCCTCTTGCCTCCCTCCCAGCTCTGCTCTCAGCCCGGGGACCCCAGGCTTCTGTGACTTGGTCTCCTCTCTCGTCCCTGGCCAATCTCCCACTTTGGAAATACAGCTCACATACGCCTTTTGTCCCATGGACCCCGAGATTCCAGCCACAGGGACCCTCACTTCTTGGTTCCCCCAACTCTCTTCTAAACCAGGGACCCCAGGGTCCCACTAGTCCTTCAGGGCTGCCAGTCCCTCCTCACACCCCCAGCCTGAGAATTCTGACCTTCCATCTTCACTTCTAGCCCAGGGGGCTCCATTTCCCAGCCTCTCCCAGGGTGCCCAGTAGCCCTCCGTCTGAGCCACTCTCCCCCTCCCCTCCTGGGGACCCACTGCTCCAGCAGCTTGGAATAAGGCCCCTCGCTTTGGGGCTGTCTCAGTTACCTTGCCCACTCTTCCTCCCAGGTTTTGAAGAAATCTGGGAGGGGGATCCTTCCATTTTTGAGACTGCGGCAGCCCCCTCACCTCAGCCTAACACCCTTTCAAATGTCAAGTGTCCTGGAGTCCAAGAAACAGGGAAGCCGGGCCCCTGGCCACTGGGGGCCTGTCTCTGGCCCCCTCCCCAGGGCCCTGGACTTGTGTCCTAAGCCCCATGTCGCCCTGGCCTGTTCCCTGGGGGGTGACACCCCCCGCCCCCCCTTCTCCAGGGGATCACCCCCCGGGAGGCCACACCATTCCGCCCTCTCCTGCCTCCTTCCCGGGGAGAGGTGTCACCTCACCCCGCCCCCCCTTCCCCTTTTTAGAGGGTGTTACCCACCCCTCCCCCCTTCGGGGGGGGCGCTCACCCTTGTTGGCCACCTCCCAGGCCACCTCGAAGAGCACGGCGTTGTCCAGGTCCAGCTCATCCTCCCAGTCCTCCAGGCCGGGCAGAGAGGACACGGACAGGCTGCGGCTGAGCGGCATGGCGGCGACGCACGGGGTGCACAGCGGCCTGAGCCCGAGCTGAAGGCACAGGCTCTGGGCCCGGGGCCGCAGCGGCAGCCTGACCCTTCGGCCCCTCCGGGCCTTGCCCCGCCCCCTGGCCCGCCATTGGGGCGCCCAGGACCGCACCGCCTGATTGGCTCGCTGCGATCCTCGCACTGTCCGAGGCGTATGAAGCCGGCAGGGGAAGGGGGGGGACACCGAGTGTACTGATTGGTCAGAGTCCCGGGCTCGGCGCCCTTGGGGCGGGGCTGAACACTGCGGGCGCGTTCACCGATTGGCCGAGGGCGCACGTCTATCTCCTGGACGTGGGCTGAGGCTGCCCGCTGGAGCCAAGCGGGGCGCAAGGGCGCGTGGGGGACGTGCGGATCTTAAAGGGGAAGTGTTGACATTTCCCGGCCTGCTGGCACACGGAGCCACATCCTCCCACCCTCCTATCTTCTACCGAGAGGAGCTGGAGGACCGCTTCAGGCTAGAGTAGTCGCTGGGGGGAGGGAGGGGCTAGTGGGCACTTCCGCTTCCTGTCCAGCGGCGGATGAGCGGCGGTTGGATCGCGACATGGCAACCACGGTTCGCAAGGGCTGCGGGGTTGGGGGACCTGCCGGGGTGGAGGGGGGGACGGCCAGGGACGCCTTGTCTTTCTGCCTCCGTGGGCGGGCATGGGAAGCGGGAGGCTGCGCGGCGGGAAACTGAGGCAGCCGGGGGAGGGGGCGGGTCTGGCGTGGAGAGAGGGGCGTGTGCGCGCATGTGCTGCGGCCGGGGAGCCCCATCGCCTCCCCCGCGCTCCCGCTTTCCTTCAGAGCTGGTGCGGGTGCCCCCCCTCCCTCCGAGTACCCAGAAGGGCATTGATTATGCGCTTGCTGTGTGCCGAGGGCGGAGGGGGAGAGCCCCGAGCTCACGGCTTAGTGAGGAGACAGCCCCCAGCCCGGAGCCCCCGCGATCCTTAGGGCCGGGACCTAGCGGCAGCCACCTCCGCCCTCGATCCCCCCTCCCCCCGGCCATCGGAGGGTGCGGGGGCTCCCCGTGGACTCTGGGCTCACTTGCCTCTTCCCGGCCCTAGGCAGCGACCACCAAGGTTCCCGAGGTGCGGGATGTGACAAGAATCGAGCGCATTGGTGAGTGGGGCGGGGACCCCCAGATGCCGGCCCCCATTCTCAACTTCATGGCCAGCGAGGGCTCGTTGCTCCCTTTGAATCGGGGACCACCTGGCCGCCCTCCCCCTGCCAGTGGCCGCTGTTCCGGGTCCTGGATCTTCCTTTTTTTTTTTTTTGTCTAGGCAGTGGGGTTAAGTGACTTGCTCAGGGTCACACAGCTAGTAAGTGTGAAGTGTCAGAGGCTGGATTTGAACTCAGGTCCTCCTGACTCTAGGGCTGGTGCTCTATCCAAAGCACGACCTAGCTGCCCCCTGGATCTTCTAAAATGATGTTACTAGTTAGACTTGAGAGAGTAACTCAAGGTTTGCTGACTGCTTTACAAACACTATCTCATAGTATGACTCATTTTACAGTTGGGGAAACCAAGGCAAGCAGGTTCAGTGACTTGCCCAGGGCCACACAGCTGGGACGTCTCTGAGGCTGACTTTGAACTCAGGTCTTCCTGCCTTCAGGCTCAGTGCTCTATCCCCTGGGCCCCCTAGCTTCTGACAAGCCTTCCTGACCCTTCTCTTTCCCTGTCTCCAACAACCCTTTGTGCCCTTGCCAGATTAGAGAATAGACTTTCTGTTGCACAGGTCTGATTACATTCCTCCTGTGCTCACAAGTCCCAAGTGGCTCCCTGTTGCCTAGCCACTAACACTCTGGTTTCTTTGTCTCACCACCAGGCCCTACTGTGGTTTGTTCTTTTTTTTCTCCTGAAGCATAATATGTTTTGTTTTGAAAAAGTGTTTGCATTGGTGGATTTTGTTTCCATAATCCCAGCATTTTCCACTACATCCCTTCCTTGACCCCAGTCTGAGAAGAAGGAGAAAGTTCCTTAACAGGAGCCAACCTAGAAAACAAAACCTGGCCTCAGTGCTTTACAGCATAGCCATGATGTCTTAGCTCTCCCAGGAAGCAGGGGGAGGGGGTCTCATCTCCATCTTCTCCCCCGTGCTCTGTGTATGCCAGCCAGAGGGCCTTTGTGCACCTATGCCCCTGCCTTTTTTCTCGTTTTTTTTGTGGGGGGGGGGGCTAGGCAATGGGGTTAAGTGACTTGCCCAAGATCACACAGTGTCTGAGGCCGAATTTGAACTCAGGTCCTCCTGACTCCAGGGTTGGTGCTCTATCCACTGCACCACCTAGCTGCCCCTGCCACCTAGCTGCCCCTCCTTTTTTCTCCCCAGCTCCATTCATGGCCACCACCCCTAGGAATGCTTTCATGGTCCCTCCACTCTCCTGCTGCAACTCTGGGTCCCTGCCTGTGGATTAGAGGGAGGGGGGTGTGTGTGTGTGTGACACCTCTGTCTACTTTGCATCCAGCTTGGGGAAAGCCAGGGTCTCTGGGCCCTCAATGCACTCATTGCCCATCAGTGGGTGGCTGTGTGTGTGTTCTCTCTGCCCACTAGGTGCTCACTCCCACATCCGAGGCTTGGGATTGGACGATGCTCTGGAGCCGAGACAGGTAGAGGAAGAGGGATAGGCAGGAGGCCATGGCCATGGGGTGGGGAAGGAGGGCTCTCCAGAAGTCCCCCTGTGATGTCTGCCCACCCTTTCCTCTTCAGGTGTCCCAGGGAATGGTGGGGCAGCTGGCTGCCCGGCGAGCCGCCGGTGTGGTGCTGGAGATGATCCGGGAGGGAAAGATAGCCGGCCGGGCAGTGCTCATTGCTGGGCAGCCCGGCACAGGGAAGACAGCCATTGCCATGGGTAATCCAGAGAGGGCAGGGTGGGGAGCAAGAGGGGAGAGGGGAGAGGGTTGGGGCAGGCCTGGAGGGTCTCTGAGCATCTTTAGTGCTGGAAGGGCCTTAGCTTGCTCTTCTTGAATAGGGCCCCAAGGCCGTATAGCGAGTCAGAGGAACTAGGGCTGAACTCTCCTGGCTGAACCAGGGTGGGCGGGAGGGAGCAGGGGCAGGCCATTGATTCCAAGCTCTCTCCCTTCCCTCCTCCTCTTCTGAGGCATGGCCCAGGCCCTGGGACCTGACACACCTTTTACTGCCATTGCTGGCAGTGAAATCTTCTCTTTGGAGATGAGCAAGACAGAGGCCCTGACCCAGGCCTTCCGAAGGTCCATTGGGGTCCGAATAAAGTAAGTGTGCCTGTGACTTTTTGGCATCTTTAGGACAGCATGTGCTGGGGCCTGTTTGGAGGGGCTGTCTGGGGGAAGGAAAGAGTGACCTCGGTCCTTCTGAACCCTCCCTCTTCTTGCCTGCCAGGGAAGAGACAGAAATCATTGAAGAGGAGGTGGTGGAGATCCAGATCGACCGTCCTGCTACAGGCACTGTGAGTCTCAGCCTGGGGAAGGTGCAAGGGGGTTTCGACAGGACAGGAAGGTTTCATTAGAGATCCTGGATGTTTGCAGAGTCCCAAAGCCAGAAGGGTCTGTCAAGATTCATGCCGACCCACCCCCACAATTTAGAGAGAAAGAAGCAGCCCACATTGTTGCGGGCAGGGTCCAGATGGAGTCCTGACTGTGTCCCTGCTTCTGGACCCCGTCTTTTGGGGACAGGGTGGGCTCAGGGCGTACTGTCTCCCCTCCCAGGGCTCCAAGGTGGGCAAGTTGACGCTGAAGACGACGGAGATGGAGACAATCTATGATCTGGGCACAAAAATGATTGAGTCCCTCACCAAGGAGAAGGTCCAAGCAGGGTGAGCAGAGGGCGGCCCCGGGGATGGAGGGGGAGGCGGCGAGGAGCATGGCTGAGGTTTCTTCCACCCCCATTGTGCCTTCCAGGGACGTCATCACCATTGACAAGGCCACAGGGAAGATATCCAAGCTAGGGCGCTCCTTCACCCGTGCCCGGGACTATGATGCCATGGGCTCCCAGGTACAGTGCCAGGTTTGGGGGTGATGCTGTCAATCCTCATCTCTCTGTGTCCAGCCCCTTCTCCTGTTCCCCTGGACTTTGTCCTCTGTTCAGCAGAAGCCCGGGTCTGGCCTTGTCACCGCCTCCTCAGTAAATTCCCCGTTACCTCCACAATCACACACGAAATGCCATGTTTGGCGTTCGAAGCTCTTCCTGAGCCCACCTTACTCCCCGAGGCACAGTCTTGGGGTCCGGCGACACCGGCCTCCTGGCTGTCCGGTAAGCCTGGCCCTTCGTCTGCCAGCCTGCTCAGAGCCGTCTCCCTCCTCATCCACGGGGGGCCCAGGCGGGAAGCCGCCTGCCCTCCTCTTGGCCTTCCCTCCGCCCCATCTCTCCTGTGGATTCTCTGGGCGGTTGGTTGTTGTCTCCGTTAGAGGAGGGCGGGGACTGCTTGTTTTGCCTCTTTCGTATGCCTGGGGTTTAGCCCAGGGCCTGGCACACAGTAGGTGCTTAATAAATATTCTTTGCTTTCCTGACTCCCCCCAGTAACATCTCCTCACTTCTCTCCGTCCGTCCTGTACCTCCTTCCCTCCCCCCCCACCCCCAGGTTCCATTGACCACTTCACCTCCATCCCTCCCTTCATCCCCCACCTAACGCTGCCACCACCTGGTGCTCTCTTAACTTCCAGGCCAGCCTGTCTCCCATAACTCACCTCCATACCTCCCCCAGGTCCTGGTTCCAGGTTCTCCTCCTGGATCCCTGAGGACTGAGGTTTGGCTTTGGGCTGTTCCCTGTCTGCCCATCTCTGTTTCTTTCTGTCTCTCCCCTACCCCCACTTGCTTTCTTTTGCTGATCCTTCTGATTGGCTTTTCCCCTCAACCCTCTTTTGCTACAGACCAAGTTTGTTCAGTGCCCAGATGGGGAACTTCAGAAGAGGAAGGAGGTTGTGCACACAGTCTCTCTCCATGAGATCGATGTCATCAACTCGCGCACACAGGGCTTCCTGGCGCTCTTCTCAGGTGAGTGCCAGGCTGGGCTTTCCCGTCGTGGGCCCCCTGCCGGGTTCCCTGCCAGCGGCTTTCTTTTCCTGGTCTGGCTTTTGCCCCGTGGTGGGCCTGTGCCCGTCCGCTCACCTCAAGCCCTTCCCAGGTGATACAGGGGAGATCAAGTCGGAGGTGCGGGAGCAGATCAATGCCAAGGTGGCTGAGTGGCGAGAGGAGGGCAAAGCAGAGATCATTCCAGGGGTGAGGCCCAGGGAGTCAGGGGCAGGGTGAGGGAGGTGCTGGCGGCGGGGGTGCTGATCGCCGTTCTGGCTTTCCAGGTGCTGTTCATAGATGAAGTCCACATGCTTGACATCGAGAGCTTCTCTTTCCTCAACCGGGCACTGGAGAGCGACATGGCCCCTGTACTCATCATGGCCACCAATCGCGGCATCACCAGGTCAGGGGGACAGCCTGGAGGTGGGGGGACCCCAGGGAGTGTGGCTGCTGGGCCTAGGGAAGAGTTAATTTGGGTGGCTTCTCACCTGTCCTCCAGAATCCGGGGGACCAGCTACCAGAGTCCCCATGGGATTCCCATTGACCTGCTGGACCGGCTGCTCATCGTCTCTACCACTCCTTATAGTGAGAAGGACACAAAGCAGATTCTCCGAATCCGGTGAGAGAGGGGCTGGGCGGGAGCCCAGCAGGAGTGCGGGCTGTGGCTGTTATTCCTGGGTGAGGCCTTAGGGAAGGGGCCCCCAGAGGCCTGAGGGGCAGATTTCTTGATGTTACTGAGGGCCAGCCAGAGCACAGCCCCAGTCTGGGGCACAGACTGGGACAGTATTTTAGGCCGAGCCTGCCCTTGCTCTTGGCATGGTCCCTGGGTGTGTCCCCAGGGAGAAGGCCTGCCCCATGTATCCAAGGGGCTCCTGGCATGGGGTGCGGCCTCCCTTTGGTCCTAAACGACCCTTGTGCTCAGTTGGTGACTGGCTGCTTGGGGAGGGCCCTAGGCTCCAACGCCAGTTTTGCCCACAAAGCCCCTGAGCCTCCTTGTAGCTGAGGAAGCCAGTAGAACTTGGGGGCATCTTGCCCAGACTCAGCCATCCAGATGGGGCCCTGACTCAAGAGGGCCCCATAGGGGTGAGCCCGTGGGGGCCCAGGCTGAGCCGTGGCTGGCCCTGCAGGTGTGAGGAGGAGGATGTGGAAATGAGTGAAGATGCCTACACAGTGCTGACCCGGATCGGGCTGGAGACCTCTCTGCGCTACGCCATCCAGCTTATCACGGCCGCCAGCCTGGTGTGCCGGAAGCGCAAGGTGGGCCCCTGTGTTCTGCCCATCCCCGCTGTGGGCTAGCAGTGGGGCCAGGCAGGTTGGGCAGACCCTGCCCCCGCATCTGCAGGAGGGGCTCTCAGCTCCTCCCCTTCCTCTCCTCTTCCCCGCAGGGTACTGAGGTGCAGGTAGATGACATCAAGCGGGTGTACTCGCTCTTCCTGGATGAATCTCGGTCCACACAGTACATGAAGGAGTACCAGGATGCTTTTCTCTTTAATGAGCTAAGTGAGTGCCTGCCCTGCAGCCCTCCCTTCCTCCTTGGGGCTGCTCTCTCCCCAGTGGCTGGGGCTCACTCTCCCTGCCAACCTCTGCTGACCCCTTTCCCCTTGCTCCTTGTTCCAACAGAAGGTGAGACCATGGATACCTCCTGAACCTCCTGGACAGATCCACACAAACTCCCTCCCTCATCCTCTCCATTCTTCTACCTGGGTTGTGACATTCTGACTTTCTATAAAATTGTTCTGGAAACCTCATGCCTCATGGTTGGGTTTTTTTTTTTGGTGGAGGGGAGGTGACCCCAGGGGCTAGGAGAGTGCTGGCTTTTAAATCCAGGCAGACAGGACACCAATGGTGAGATGAGAAATCTTTATTGGGGATTGGTGGGGAGGAGGGGATGGAAAAGGGGAGTGGAAGGTGCCACCCTAGAGGTGAAGGGAGAGGCTGGGGCCCCAGGTCTGGGCCCTAGAGGAGCTGCAGGCTGAGTTGAGGCCGGGTGCAGAGGTGGGGTCGGGCCCGTGGACCCCCGCAGTCCGAATGGCTCAGGCGGCAGGATCCACAGGTGCAGCTGAGGGCCACAGGGAAGGAGAAGACAGGGTCCACACCAGGAGGACATCCGGGCAGCCGGATGGAGGAGAAGCTCAGCTCCCTATACGTGCAGACCAGCTGAGGGCCAGGAGGCAGCGCAGCTGGAATCACTCGCACCTGGTAGGGGAGGGATGGGAAGCCCAGTGACAAGGCTGCCAGGAGGGGAGCTCTCCCACCGCCCTCTGCACCCCCTGAGCCTCACCATGCTGGGGCAGTAGCCAGCACAGATGGTAGTGGTGAAGGTGACGCACACTGGGCAGGCATCGCTCTCTGCAGCCAGGGTGGCATTAGTTGGTCTGCACAGGGGGCGAAGGGGGCTTGCTCCCCAGGAGCCTCCCTTCAGCAGCAGCAGCGGCAGCAGCAGCAGCACTATTAGCTCCTGGGGAGGAGGGTGCAGAGCCCAGCTCAACCTCATGAGGAGGGAGCCAGGCATCTACGACCCCATGACCCGCCAACCTCTTCACATTTAGGGACTTGAGCCCTCCCACAGGTTCCCATACCCTGCCCCTTGTCTCTAAGGGCCCATGTTCTCTGCCCCCCACCTGCCTCAAGGGTCTTAGAAGGTCCCTCTCCTTGTCCCGTGGGTCCCCTGGGTGTTGGAGACCCCTCTCCCACCCAGTTCCCCCTTGGGCTTCCTGGGAATTACATCCCTGCTCCTGGGGTCTAGAGGCCCTTCTACCACCCCTCCAGGCTTCTCTGGTGTCTGGCTCCTTGGGTCCTGGGCTCTGACCTGGTGTCTCTCCATCCTGCACTCCACCGTGCCAGCTGCAGCCGAGGCACCTTATAGGTCCCAGGCAGTGGGGGCGGCAAGGCCACCAGCCTCTCTGCTTTTGGCTGGGTAACCTGGACACTAATCCCCAGGGCAGGCGGGGGGCGGGCCCAGCCGAGGTCACTGAAAGGCTTGCATACAGGCCAGGCTTTAGGTGGCTTTAGGGTTCCCAAACAGCCCTGGGGTGTGGGCAGGCCAGGGAGCATTGTCCCCAGGCTGGAGAAGGGCATGAGGCTAGGCCAAGGCCAAGGCCACAGCCACCTCAGAGAGCTGGGAAGAGTGGATGCAGACCTTTCTGTAGTCTCAAATGGGGGCCCCATCTCAGGTGTGTGCTGGGGATAGGCCAGAAGCCTCAGAGGTAATAAGGAACCCATCTGTGGAGGTGTGCACCCCAGGATTCAGGCCCTAACCAAGACCAAAACTGCAGAACTCAGGAGACAAAGATCATGTTATGGAGAGGAGAGACGATACAGCAGCTTTGGCACCCCCCCCCTCCCCGTCCCATCATCTTCAGCTCAGGCCTTCCCCCAGCTGCGCCAGAACCCATAGCAAGGGCTCAGTGAGGTGCCTGTCACAGGATGCAAGGACTAGTCAGAGGACCCACCTCCCAGGCAGATCGGGGCAGGGGTCTGGTAGCCCCCGCCCCCAGGGCAGGTGTGCCTGCCCCAAGCTCCGCCCCAAGGTCCAGGGCAGGCATGCAGGTGAACTCTCGGAGGCTCCAGTGGGGAGGGCAAGGCCTCCTGGCCCTGCACCAGCTAGTTGGGGTGGGATCTGTTCCAGGGCCAGGGCCGTATTCTCAGGGGCTCCGCCCCAGTCCCGAGGGGGGTGTGGCTTGCCCCAGCACCAGGGGAGTGTCCTCAAGGGGCCCCGCCCCTCCCCTGCCCGACGGCCGTCGCCAGCCTGCCAGCGGGCAGCGCGCAGAGTTCAGACGAAGGCGGGTTTGAGGCTGCCATAGCGAGAGTTTTCGGTCTGGTAGACGTGGGGCACGGTCTGCATGCCCGGCACAGGCTTTACTTGGGGTCCCACCCAGGGAGCCTCCAGGGGGCAGAATCGGTCAGTCACGCGCAGTGGGTACTGGGGCGGCCCGTAGGACTCTTTGGTCAGGGACACGGCCCCGCGATGGGGGACGCATGGGCGGGCCTGGCCGAGGCGGGCCACCCGAGGAAGGGGCTGCAGAGGCTCGAGCACCAGCAACCTAGGCTGTTTGCAGAAATCTTGGTGCGTTAGGCAGTTCTTCCGGGGGCAGCCGGCCATCTCCTTCCTGCTCAACCAACGGGAGGAGTCCGGGTCAGAACTCAGGGCCACCCGAGGGAGCCGAACGAGAGGGAAGGGACGCCTGCGTCCCGGCGGAGACGCAGCTTAACTAGAGGGTGACAGAGTCTTTCCCTGAGGTGTGGGGAGGGGAGGGACGCGCCCGAGTCCTCCAGGGGATGGGGATGGGGATGGGGGCGGGGGGCGCGGGCTCCAGGGTCCTCGAAGGGGCAAGGAATTCCTGAATCCTTAAGGGGACTCTGCTGGGAGAAGGGGCTCCTGGGTCCTCGAAAAGGGGTTGGGGTGATGCCACGGAGGGGTGTGCTTCAAGGGTAGGCTGGGGAGGAGACTGGACCACGGCTCACCTGGTGTAGTAGCGGAAGTCTCTGGCGGTTGTGGTCAGGTAGGGCTGGTGGCGGTTGAGCACACCCTGCTCCGGGATGTAGAGAGGCAGCCCGGAGAGGGCTGGGTTCTTGCTGGAGGGGATCAGGGCCTGGACGGAAGGGGAGGGCGCAGGACTAAACATGTCTTCCAGGGTCTCTAGCCACCATCACCCCACCCCAACCCCCATCCCCTCTCAGAAGCGCGACCTCACCTGGCTGGGCCCCTGGGCGTGGTGATCGGCTAGCTCCCAAGGTTGGGGCCCTGCCCGTGTGATGGTCTCAGGGCCCAGGTTGGGCCAGCCCTGGTACTTATCCTGCATCTCACTTTTCTGGTACGCCATGGTCAAGGGGTGCCGACAGGACCGGAGCTGGAGCTAAAGAGAGGGGGGAGCTGGAACCACCAGTCTCACCCCTTCCCCTCCCCGCCTCTCAGAGTCCCAGCTTCTCACCTTCTCTCCCAAGTCCTTGATTCCTAGCGTCCTTTTGACCCTGGGCGTGAGCGCGTACTTGGGCTGCGCGTACACATCGCCGTGAGTCTTGGGCCCATGCGCCGCACCTGAGGACGTCTCCCAGCGACTGAAGACCTCGTCGAAGTCCAGGATATGGGAGTCTTGCTTGAACGCCGGGGGGAGGCTTTCGGGGACCGTGGTCTGGGCGAGAAGGAGGGGGAAAGGTTACGGCACAGTGTAAGACCTTGGAGCCCTCCCCCAGCTGCAGTCCCTCCCCCAGACCTGCCCCTTCGGTGGTCTACTCATTTTCTTCCCAGCCCTGTCCCTTGGGGACCCAGCGGTCCTGCTCACCCGCACTTTAGGCGGGGGAAAGGGGAGGGTGCTGCCTGGACCAGGGGGGACGCCCACACTGCTGCTGAGTTGTCGCGAGTCTGGCCGGGGTGGCCTCCGACTGCCAGGACCCTCGACGGGGGTGCCCAGGAGGCCATAGTGTGACGGCGGAGTGAAGCCGGCCATGGCCTAACCAGGCCTGGTCTCCTTCTTGGCCTCCCCTTGACACCTCCCCCACTGTTGATGCCGTTGCCCGGGAGACAGACAGAACCTGCCGAAGCCTGGATCTGGCCAATGGGGGCTAGGGGATGGGGGTGAGGGTGGAAGGAGGCGGGAGAGAACTTCAGAAAGAGTCCAGGTAAAGGACTGCGGGCAGAGCATGAGGGAGAGATGGAGAGAAAAAAACGTGGAGAGGCAAATACAGAGGGAGAGTGAAAAAGATCCTGAGACTAGGAGCAGGAAGGGGGAGGGGCAGGAGAGCCACATGCTCAGAGACAGAGAGCTAGTAAGACAGAGGTAGGAAGAGGTAGGAACCCAACAAGACAGACACACAGGGGTGTACAAACACATAGACAGAACCCAGAGAAGCCAAGGGACAGAAAGACAGATAGTATAGAAATATATGTATATATTCATATATATGTATGCATGTATGTATGTATGTAAGAAAGAAACACAAGTAACAGACATGTCTAGAGAATATTTGAGACAAAACCCCACAAAAACATCGGGAAAAGTTCCAGAGATGGACAGAGATAAGGACAAAACACCCAGAGACAGAGCCTGAGCTCCCAGTCACCCTGATGGGGATGACCCACTAGAGGGCTTATGGTCTTGGTGGACCCAAAGCAGGCAGAATCCAGTGCCTCTTAAATTTGAGGATGGAGGGTATGAAAACTGCAGCTTTCAGCACCAGTCTTCTTTGATTTTTCTGTCCCATGGCCCTCAGGATGTTCCATCCCCTGATCTAAGATCTGCTCAGCTCCCACTGGCCTGGTCCAGGTAGGGTCAGAACTGCCCCTCTACTCAGACTCTTACAGATGGATGGAAACTTAGAGATTATCCAGTTCATGAACCCTTTGCCCAGCAGAAGTCCCTGCTGTTTAACTTCTGCTTGAACACCTCCAGGGACAGGGGACTCACTCCCTCTCCAAGCATCAGGGCCCCTGATGGGACAGTTCTGAGGGCTGGCAATTATCCCCACTATAGATTCTGCTTCTACCCTCAAGTGTGGGACATAGTGCACTGGGTCCCTCTGCTCCAGATCTGTGCCTCTGTCTTGGGTCTTTGAGCACTGTGAGCCTGGGGCTTAGTAGTCTTTTGTGAGCTAAATGCCTCCAGCTCCCAGAACTTGACCTCCAATGGTGATTCCACTCAGGATCCCTTAGTTCAATCAAGTGGCCACCAAAGACAGAAGGGAACTTTCCATGTCAAGTAGTGTGACCTTTCGTAAGTCTCTTTCCCTTTCCAAGCTTCAGTCTTCCCCTGTGTAAAATGTGCCAGGTGTTCTCTTAATTTGAATGGAAATGAAGTTCTCAGCTATGAGCTTCCGTGAGCCCTGGGTCAGCCCGGGGAGCCCCTCGATGCCCAGAGAGTGGGAGGCATTTGCCCAAGGTCACACAGCCAGCCAGTTTGGAATTAGGCCCGCCCCCCAGCAGTGGCCCGGCTGAGCAGGGTGCACACACAGGCCGTGTCAATGCGGATCCACCTCCAGCCCACTCGGCCCTGCCCGTCTGCAGTCAGCGCCCGAACATAAGACTGTTTGGCTTTGCATTCAGACACCCAGTGTCTTCTGTCTACACCACGACAGCCGGCCCCGCCTCCAGGACCCCCAGCCGCTTTGCATCGGGTCTCAAAAAAGTACTGGCGCAGGGGGCCCCCTCCTGCTGCAGGCACCTCCCCCAGGACCTCCACCTCGCGGCCCCGAAGGTCCACAGCTGTGCGGCGGTCGGTCACCCAGCCGCTGACTGCATCACACACAGCCAGCTCGCCCCGACGGCCAGCCTCTGCTGCGGCCCCAGCTTCTCGCCGGCTCCGGTTGGCTGGGGCTGCTGCCAGGGAGGCCTCCAGGAGGAAGAGGAGTGGGGGCCCTGAGGGTGCCCCCCGAGACAAGGCCACCCTTGGGGACAGCAGGTCCCACTCGGGTCCTGGGAATGGGGGCAATGGTGGTGGCTCCTGGGGGACCACTCCGGATAGGACCCATAGAAGAAAGAGGAAGAGCCAGATGTGGAGCGGGCTCGATGGGAGAAGCATCTCTGTGGCCACCTGGTAAAGAGAGGGGTGGTGGTCAGAAGGGCAGCCCTTGAGTCCGTGGGGAAGGCTAGAGGTCCAGGGATGTCAGGGCTGGGCAAGTCCCTGCCCCTATAGAGGCCTCCAGACTCCCCTATCAGCAAGAGGAAGACGTTGGACTCTAATCGCTAAGGCCCCCTTTCATTTCTGATTAGGAGAAGAGGGAAAAGGGGAGGAAGACCCTAAGAGAGGATCTTGGGCTTACCACACTTCTCAGGGCCACCTTCTCTTGGGCCCTGGGCTGGGAGCTCCTGGGCTCTGAGGGTCCCTTGCCAGGGTCTCCCAGGGCCCCCTCCTCCCAGCCATCCCAGGAGACGGAGAGGGGGGCGACCACCTAGGAGAAAAAAGGGAGGGAAGCTTGGGAGCAAGTCTCCCCCATGTCCTCCTGAAGGACCCAGGCATCCCCTCCCCCAGACCAGGGCCCTCTGCGCAGGCCCCTTCCCAGGTGACGGGAACCTGACTGGGATGGGAAGCAGATGTCGGGGAGGGGAGGCGGCTGATGGATGAGGCTTAAGGGCTGGAAAAGATTATGTCCCTCACGGCCCATCCATCTCCCAGACAACAGAGGGGGCTGGGGGCCAGGAAGCCTGGGTCCCCAAGAGGCGCAGGCTGGGGGAATGGGGACTCCAAGGTCCCTGAGGGGGCAGGACTGGGGGGGGGAAAGGGACGCCTGAGACCACAAAGGGTCGGGGTTTGGGGGGTCGGACGCCTGGACCCGTAGGGGGCGGGGGCCGGACTCGGGTCCCCGAGGCGTCTCCCAGGAATGTTCCCTCAGAACTGGGACAGGCCAGGACCCGCCCAGGGCTTCAGTTGCACATACCTGGAGCTGCCGCCCGGGCGGAGGCGGGCAAGGAGTCGGGGAGGGAGGGAAGGAGAGGGTGGGAGCGATTTCTATTCCTCCCCGGGAGTCCCAGGCGTCCGGACTTAGCCCCCGCCCCCTCGGGGACCCAGGCTGCCCGGCCCAGCTAACGGGAAAAAGGGATAGAGTAACAAAGCGGATCCCGGTCCGAGCCTTCCAGCACGCCTGAGTACTCCCTCGAACTGCTCAGAGACTGGGCTGGGCCCTGCCTGCCTCCTGCCTCAGTTTCCCTGTCGGGTCCTGCCCCCAAGCTCCTGAAGTGCCTGCCCCCTTGGACCTACGGCGGGTCTGAACTCCTGGATCCCACCCCACTCCCTCCTTCCTGACATTCGGCCCGGACCTTACTTGGGACACCCTCCTGGGCTCGGGACTCTGGCTGCCGCTGCTCCCTGGCGCCGGGCTCCGCGCGCCGCGCGGCCCGCTCCGGGACAGGGGGGCGGGTACTAGACTAACCCCGCCCATCTGGGGGAGTGACCAGCAGTCCCGCCTACACGGTCCACCTTGGCTGCTCTGAGACCGGGACCGCCGAGGAATTTGGCCTAAGCGCCTCCCTCCCCTTGGGCACTCAGGCGCCGCCTCCACCCGACCCTCCGACACACACCCCCTTCCTGGACCCAGGCGTCCTGGCCCCAGCTTCCTTCTCTCCTGTGCCAGAGAAGTGTCAGTAGGGACAGCCGTCCTCCCACCCCCATTCCGGGCCTCTCCCAGAGGGAGACACAAACCAGGCGCCCCGGGAAAGATAAGGGCCCAGACAGAGACAGAAGTGGGGAGACAGGAGCCCCATTTCCCTGGCCAAGCCTCAGCCCCAGTCTCAGCCTCCCCCAGGGCCCCTAGCTCTGGGGGGAAGGAGGAGAGTGAGAGGGGGAGGGAGGGCAACAGAGAAGGCTTGAGTAGGCCAGACAGAATGGCAGGCCGGCCAAGACAAACTGATCAACAAGGAGACATAGAGATTCAATTCAACCAGCATTTATTAAGGGCCAGCTTTTGGAGCCAGGCTCTGGGGATGTGGTGGTGAGTCCCTGTCCTCAAGGGGCTTGCAGTCCTGGAGGGGGAGGGGAAGATATGTCACATACACAGATGAGAGATGGAGGCATAGACACACACAAAAATGAGGAAGATTCACAACAGAGAGACAGAGAAATGGAGTACAGACAGACACCAAGAGACCCAGAAGGCTGGGGACTCCTCTCCTCCCTTCCCCCCTCCAGCTATTTTTAGGTGCCAGACATTGGACACCCTGGCCTGGGGGCCATCCCAGCCCTAAATTTAGGCCCAGTGCAGGCTGCTGGGTGTCCCCAGGTTGTGGTTCTCCCACCCTCCCCCCCAAGACTGGGTCCCCCTTCCACTTCTCAGCCAAGGGCGATGCCAGTGTAGGAACGGTTAAGGCTTTTTCCTTGAAGAACTGGGTCCATCCCAGCCCTACTCTACCCCCAACTTCAACCCTAGGCTGACTGCTCTATCCCAATACCAGGAGAAGGGAGTTTGTGAAAAAAGCATCTTTGCCTGTCTCTCCCTATCTCTGTCTTTTCCCCCTGTCTCTCTCTCTCTCTCTCTCTTTCTCCTTCTGCCTTTTGGTCTTTCCCATCTTTATATCCTCGCTATCTCCCTCTATTGCTCCTGGCTAGGCTTGGGATCACTTGGGGGCGTTGTCAATACCCAGATGTATGAGCCACTTGGATGGAAGGCTGGAAAGATCTGTCCATGTCATACTTCCTTAAGAGCTGGGGCTTAGAGTAGCTGAGGAGGGGGCAAAAAGGGTCATAAGAGAGACTGAGGGAGACAAGGGGGTGCCACAGCTTGGGACCATACAACCCAAAAGACCCAGACACAGTGCATCAAGCCACCAACCAACCCAGCCCCACGCAGAAAAGCTATACATACCCCAACAGAACCCTATACAGACCCTAGGCAGCTCATGCACCAGAGCCACATGTGTAACCTTACACAAATGGCAACACCATGATACATACACACCCATGTCTCTCACAGAGCTGTACAACCACAAACAATGAAATATGATAATGCCGCACAACTGAAGAACAGAGGAGAACTAGGGATCTGGAAAGGCCCATGAGCAGTACCAAGGTTCCACAAGGACAGATTAGAGACTAGTGTGTTTCAAAGATGGCCCTAGAATCTGGGTTCTCCCGACATCCAGCCCAAAGGGCCCTTTGTACAACAATGCAATGCTCCTAACCCCTCCAGAGACTCAGGACACACCAACACAACTCACTCTGTCTAGGCCTCACACAACTCAGGATGCAACTCCTCCATCCAACTCAAGGAGACCCTCCAGAAATTCCATGAAGCCACCCAACCAATGTGACTCAACCCCACTCAATCCAAGCCATATGGAAGTGTACCCCACTGTTGTGAATGAAGTAGAAGAATGTGGGCAATGCTATCTGAGAGTGTGGTTAGGGAGATTGGAATGCTGATGGCCAGCTGGGTGAAGAGTGCTGATTAAAGGGATCTGTCTCCACCTGGAAGGAGGTCTCTAGCAGAGTGTCCCAGGGATATCTCCCCAGCCCCATGCTCTTTGTTTGCTTGGGGTTTTTTTTGTTTGTTCTTAATCAATGGACTTAGATGAATAGAATAGAAGAAGCTTATCAAATTCTCAGATGACACAAAGCTATGTAAGGTAGCTAACCCACTAAACAATTGAGAATAGAAATCTAGAAAGATCAAGACATTTAGGAACCCTGGGTCAGATCTAATGAGATGCAATTTAACAAGAATAAACTTAAAGTTCCACACTTAGAGGTAAAAAAAAATCAGCTAGCAAGGTACAGGATGGAGGAGATAGGGTCTTATAGACACTTTTGTAAAAGAGTTCTGTGGATCTTGGAGTGACTACAAATGGCACCTGAGTCAGTGGTGTACCAGGGCAGTTCCCAATGTTCTGTAGATCTTGGGCTGCATTAATAAGGGCAAGGTCCAGGACAAGGGAAGCTACAGCCTTGCTGTTCTCTGCCCTACTCCCACCATGGCAGGAGTCTGGTGGTCAGGTCCAGGCATGACAGTGTCAAGGGGAGATGCTGGAACTGTGAGAAGACTGGAGACCATGTCATAGCCAAATAAGTTGAAGGGACCAGGACTATTTCTCATGGAGAAGAGAAGACTTAGAGGAGACATGAGACAATCTTGAAATATTCGAAAAGCATTTAAAGAATAGGAAGTAGACTTGTGTTGTTTGGCCCCCGAAGGCAGAATGGGAGTAATGGGAAGATTGTTGAGAACTATTCAAAATGGAATGGGCTTCCTTGTGAGGTAGTGAGTTTCCCACCTCTGAAAGTCTTCAAGCAGAGGCTGGATGAAAACTTCTTGTTTTTGGAAGGTATAGAGGAAATTTCTGGCCAGATGTAAGTTAGATGAGATGCTTTCTGAGGTCTCCTTAAGCTCTGAAGTTGGATGATAACTCACTCAACCCAACGTAACTGCAAGGCCCTCAGAGACTCATATAAGACAACAACCAGAAGCCAATCAGAGCCTAACAAAACCCAACATAACCACAAGCTCCAGACCCTCAGAGACTCATGCAATGCAAAAAAAGCACAAGGCCCCAAACACACAGGGCACATGACCAGAAGCACCACAGAGACTCACACAACCAGGAGGCCCCCAGACTCAGATGATCCAAACACTTAGTCAATCACAAATCCCTATCACCTTAAGATTCACTGGATTCAACATAACTGTACCTGTTCCAATCACAAAACCCCCACAGATACTCACATATCCCAACAGGACTCAATCCCAACTTGAAAGAAGCTGACATGATTTAATAGAATTCAATGAAACTCTTAGAATCCATGGGCCAATACAAAACAACTTCAGAGGTCCTGCTAGACTTGCCACTGATGGGTTGTTGAAACGTATGGGAAAATTCAGGGTCCAGGTCCCATCACCCATGCCACCTAACAACCCAGCTCTAGTCCAACACTATTGTTTCTTCAGGTTCCTTCCCACCACACTGATTTCCTTTCCCACCCTGGACTGGATCCCTCACACCTCTGTGACCAAGTGCTTCCCACTGCCCCCAACTAGCCCATTAGCCTTGCCCTCCTGGACCTCAGGAGGGCAGCAGGGCTGAGTAGCCACATGCCGATATCTCCCAGTGTCTTCTCCCTCTATTTCCCGGTGGTAGAAATAGCTGAAGTTGGAGACAATGACAGGTACAGGCAGGGATATGGTGAGGACACCAGCAATGGCACAGAGGGAGCCCACGATCTTGCCACCCATTGTGGCAGGTGCCATGTCCCCATAGCCCACAGTTGTCATGGTCACCACAGCCCACCAGAAAGAAGCAGGGATGCTGGTAAAGCCTGAATCAGGGGGCCCATCGACCTCAGCAAAGTAAACTGCACTGGAGAAGAGGATGACCCCAATGAAGAGGAAGAAAATGAGCAGGCCCAGCTCCCGCATTGATGCCCGAAGTGTCTGGCCCAGGATCTGCAAGCCCTTAGAGTGGCGGGACAGCTTGAAGATTCGGAAAACTCGGACCAGGCGGATGACCCGCAGAATGGCCAGGGACATGGCAGGCTGACCCACACCCCGCTGCCGGGCCAGCTCCGTGCCCAGGGCCACAAAGTAGGGCAGGATGGCCACAAAGTCAATAAGGTTCATGACATTCTTGAAGAAAGCTGTCTTGCTTGGACTGGCACCCAGACGCACCAGGAGCTCGAAGGAGAACCAGCAGATGCAAAGCGTCTCCACCAGGAAGAAAGGGTCATCGAATGGGGCCCTTGGAGGTGGAGGCACTGGCTGGGAGCCATTGGACCACATTGATGGGAGCTGTGGGAGGGAACAGGTCAGTCAGAAGGTGGGAGCCTAAGGTCAAGTCTCCAGCCTGACTACAGAGGGTACAGACACCTAGGTCTCTGGGTTAGTGAGGGCTTGGGGAAAAGGATGCCAGAGGCCCTCAAGAGTTGGTGGTTGAAAGCTAGATGCTAGGGTTAGAGAGATCCTGAGGGAATGACTTGAGTCTGCATTGGGCAAAATTCCAAGGGGTTTCAAGGACTTCCCCACAGAAACAAGGCTAATTCCATTCCCCTACCCGAACTTGGAGACTGAGGATAGAGACATTGTCTATATGTCTCTGCCTCTTCCACTGTCTGTTTCTGGCTGAGATTTCCTGTCTCTCCGGTCTGCTCCCCCCCCCCCCCCGTGTTCCTGCCTCCATTAAGCTCCATTCTGTCACACTCAGGCTTCTTTGGTCTTGGACCCCTCCAATGCCTTTCACCCCTCTACCCTCTAGCCCTGGCCCCCTTTGACTTTTTCAGATCCTTTCAAATCCCTTCCGACCCCTCACCCCCACCACTCTGGCCTTCCTCAACCCCTTCTGACCTATCCTCCCAACTCCTACCCCCCAGGCTCCCTCTCTCCACCATGGTCCCCTCTTCCCCACAATTCTCCAGCTCATTCTGTCCCCTGCTCCCCTCATTTCCCAGCCTGATCTGTTCTCCTCTTACCCATTGAACCCCCTCTGATTCTTTGCAGTCCTACCTCCTTCTATTCTTCCCTAGCTACCTTTCTCCTCATTTCTGCCCTCTCTCAGTCCCCTCTGCCCCCTGACCACTTCTTCCCCATTGACTCTCTCTGCCTTTTCCCAGCCTCTATTCCTTGACCCCCTCTGACCTCCTCCAGTCCCCTCTGCCCCCCTAGGTCCCTCTGCCATTTCTCAGCCCCGTCGACCGGCTTGCTTCCCCTCTCCTCCTCTGACGCAATTCCCCAGTGCCTTCTAGCCTACTCTGCCCTTCCCGACCCCGCCCTCGGCCCCTCCTGCGGCTCCTGGGCCCCTCTAATTGCCTTCCTCGACCTTTGTCTCCCCAGCTCACCGGCCCCGAGGCAGCCCCGGGCTGGCCGTCGCGTTCGTCTCGGAAGTCGGGTAGGGTCTCCAGGCAGAAGACAACGATGGAGACAAGGATGACGAGCACAGAGACGACGGCCACAATGCGGGCTGCGGCCGAGCTCTCGGGGAACTCGAAGAGCAGCCAGAGCTGGCGCGCGAAGGGCCGCCGGGGCAGCCGGCGCTCGGGCTCGGCTGCGAAGCCCTCGTCCTCGCGGAGCTTGGCGAGCGCGTCGGCGCCCAGCTCGTAGAAGGCCACCTCGTCCAGAAAGACGTCCAGGGGTACGTGTGCCGGCCGCCGCAGGCGCCCGCCCGACTGGTAGTAGTGGAGGATGGCGTCGAAGCTGGGCCGGTGGCGGTCCAGGAAGAACTCGCCGCGGGTCGGGTCGTAGAAGGCGCGCCGGCGGCCCGGGTCACCCAGCAGCGTGTCCGGGTAGCGACCCAGGGTCCGAGCGCGCGTTTCGAAGCGTAGCCCGGCCACATTGAGCACCAACCGCTCGCAGCAGCCGCACGGGTCAGCCTCCATGGCCCCCGAGGGCTGGCAGCCCAGCCAGGGAGCGCGCAGAGGACGGGCACCGACGCCGCAGCCAGCCAGCCCGGTGTCCGATTCCCCGCGCCGGTATAAATAGACATCGCAGGCCCCGAGGCCCGAGGGGTGGGGGCAGCTGGCCGGGGGCTGGGGGCGTCCCGGGGCGCCCTCTGCTGGGAGGGGGGGACCGGCCACCGGCTCGAGGACCCCTTCCTCCGCCCCCTCCGCGCCTTTCCGCGGGGCCAGCTAGGGGCAGTCAGAGCTTACCCACCTTTTCATCTCAGTCCTGGGCCGTCTGTCCCTCTCCCTTTAAGGTTCACTGACCTATCTCATGCAGTCCAGGCTGGGTCTTTCTCTCCAGGTCTGCAGTCACTCCCAAGCGTCGTTTGTTTCTCTGGCTCTGTCTTTCTCTGGGGTCTGTCTTTCGCTCTCTGGTTTCAATCTGTCTCTGAGAGAGTCTGTTAACTCTCGTTTGGTGCAGATCTTAATGCCCTTCCTGGCTCTCTTCTGTCCCTTTCCGATGGCGTAGTCTTGGGTCTTTTTGTCTCTTCTCCGGTCTCTGTTCCTTTCTGAGAGTGGCTGTCTGCGGATCCTTCGGTCCTTCCAGACGTCTCTGTCACTGTCTTTCTGGGTCTCTCTAAAGGGTGACTCTAAGTTACTCATTGTGAAAAGTGCATCTGTCCCTAATTTTGTCTGTCACTCTGAGTCTCTTTTTTTCTGGGTCTATCTGTCTCTTTCTGGGTCTTTCTGTCACCACCACTGTCCTGTGGATCTGTCTGTACGATTCTGCTGGTAATCTCTCTCAGTCTCTCATATTCTGGGCTCTTTGTCGAGCAAACTCCCACCTACTGCGTGGAATTCCAAGTCACAAGCTGCAGGGATCTCAAGCTCCCCCTGCCTTTACTGCCCTCCCTGAAATCCAGTCCCCATCCACTTCAGCTCTACCCCCACCCTCCAAGTGTCTAGGCTGCTCTTTTCTGTCGCCATCACGCCTTTCTTTCAATGCAGACCTCTTCCTCTCGCATTGCTTCCATTTTTCTTATTCCTTATCAGCCCTTCCCCTTCCCCTCCCTCCAGCCCTGCACACCACCTACAATCCAGTAATCCTGGCCAACTCCCCACTCTGGGCATTTTCTATGTCCATGTATCCCCCATGCCTGAAGCATAATCCCTGCTAATTTCTGCCTCCTCCCTGACATTCCTCAAATCTCAGCTAAAACCCCACCTTAGACAGGAAGCCTTTCTGTGACACCCTTAATCTTAGTGCCTTCCCTACGAGACTACTCCCAATTCATCCTGTATAGATCTTGTTTGTACATACTTGTTTCCAATTCCACTATCAGACTGTCAATAACTCCAGAGCAGGGGCCTGCCTTGCTTTGTAACCTCACCCCTTAGCATAGTGCCTGGCATAGTAGGTGCTTAATAAATGATAGTTGACCGACTGACATGGGGACGACCCCCATCGTGAGCCATTCATTTCACTGTTGCATCTCTCCCCAATCCCCAAAACACACCCTGATCCTCTCCACACCCCAGTCTTCTCCAACTCCACCACCTTGATCTGGCCCAATTTTCCTTCCTTCCAAATCTCAACCTTATAGTTGACCAGTTCACAACTCCATGTCTATTCTGGAATGCCTTGGTTCCTGAAAATCTCTTGACAATTCCCAATTTCTGACTTCCTCTGCATTCACCTTCTTCACTACTACACACTGGCTATGGAGAGAGGGAGGAAATCACACCATGGTGCCGCCTGCATCTGCTATTGATGTACATAATTTATATAATGTCAACTGGCAGACTTTCTCTCACTGGGTCTGTCTTTCTCTTCTTCTTCTTCCTCCTTCTCCTCCTCCTCCTCCTCCCCCCTTTCCCTCCCTTATATGGGTCCGTTTGTCTCTCTTTGACTCTATCTCAGTCTCACTCTGAGTCTGTATATGTCATTTGCAAACACTCTCTCTCTGGGTCCGTTTTTCTGTCATTATCTAGATCTGTTGGTGGGTCCCTCTCTGAATTAATTTGTCATTCTCTAGATCTGTTTGTCCTCCTTGGTCTAACTGCCTCCTTCTCTGAGTCTATCTTAATGTACAGAGTCTATTTTTTTCTGGGTCTTTGTCCCTGCCATTCTCTGGCTCTGTCTGTGTGTCCTTTCTGGGCCTCTCTGACTCTTAGTTTTACTGGGGTACAACTTTCCAAGTCATCTTTCTGTGTTTGGGTGCCTCTCTAAGCCTACCTGTGTCTGTCCCTGTTTGGGTCTTTGCATGTCTATCTGGGTCTATATGGCTGTCATTTCTTAAGTCCAATGTTTGTTCTTCTACAAGTCTCTGCCCTTCTCTGGATCTCTCTCTTAGTCTCTGCCTGGTCTTGTCTATCCTCTTATGTGTTCCTCTGTGAGCCTTTCCATCCTTATTAGAGGCATCTGGTTGGTTCAGTGGTTTGAACATTAGGTCTGAAGTCAGGAAGATCTGAGTTCAAACCCAGTCTCAGATGCTTCTCAGCTGTGTGACCCTGGGCAAGTAATTTAATCTCTGTCTTTCTCAGTTTCTTCAACCATAAAATGGAGCTAATAATAGCATCTACTCCCTGGGGTGTTGTGGGGAATCAAGAGATATTATTGTAAAGTGCTTAGCATGGTGCCTGGCACCCAATAGATATTCAATGCTTTCCTTCCTTCCTTCCCCGTCCCTGTGTCTGTCTGCCTATCCTTCATTATGTCTATTCCTGTGTCCCTTCCTAGGACTGTCTGTATATCTTTCTCTAGATCAGCCTGCCTGTCCTTCTCTGTGTCTGTCCTTGTGGCCCTATTTGGGGCTATCTCTGTCTCTCTCTCTGAGTCTATGTATTTTTCTGGAATTGTATTTGTATCTCTCTCTACATCAGGCTTTCTGTCCCTCTCTGTCTGCCTCATGTCCTTCCCTAGATCCTTCAGTGTGTTTCTGTCTGGGCCTTTTGGGTGTGCTTTTCTCTGGCCCTGGCCCAGACCCTGCATCCCTCCCTAGCTCTTTCTGGGTCAGTATGTCTAATGTTTGCTGAGTAAGTCATTCCTTGGGTCTTCCTGTGTGTCCCTGCCTGGACTTGTTCCTATCAGCTTCTCTTTTTAAGTATACTAAAGGGCTGACACACTTAGACAGAAGTTGTTCTGGAAAAGGTTGGGGTTTTTTTTTTTGGGGGGGGTTAGTAGATTGTAAGCGTGATGTGAGTCAGCTGGGTAGCAGTAATAAAAGATCTTTGTGAGCTTGGGTTTCCTTAAGACAGTTGTATAGGAAGGTGATAGTCCCACTGTCCTTTGCCCTTGTCAGACTTCATCTGGAGTAGTGGGTTCAGTCCCAGGCATGATAGTTTAACAAGGACACAGATAATTGGGAGAGGGTACAGAGGAGGGAACCAGGACAATGAGTTGCTATATATTGAGTCCAACATAAGCACTGGTTGAAGTAATTCAGGATGTTGAACCCAGAGAAGATTCAGCTGGTATATGGTATTTGAATTACTCTTACAAAAATGTGGGCTCTCATGTCCAACAAAGACTGGATTTACTCTGTCTGGTCCCTGAGAGCAGAAGCAGGAGCAATGGGGAGAAGTTCCAAAGAGGCAAATTTAGACTCAACGTCAGGAAAGCCTTTCCAACAGTTTGAGCTGGAAGTAGAATGCGTAGCCTCCGAAGGCCATAGGTCCTCCTTGGAGGTCTGTGAACAGAAGTAACCTCATCCGAAAGAATGGCCTTTTCTCAAACCTCATCTTCCTTGACTTCTTGGCAGTCTTTGACACTGCTAATCAGCCTCCGGACACTGCTCTAACCTGGTTCTCCTACCTGATGGCTCCTTCTCCATTTCTTTTGCTGGATCTTCATCCAGGAGATAGCCCCTTGTCTTCCACAGGGCTCTGTCCTAGGTTCTTTTCTCTTCCTGCTTGTACTATTTCACGTGGAGACTTCATCAGATCCCATAGATTCAATTATCATCTTTATGCTGATGAGTCTCAAATTGACTTTTTCAGTTCTAACTTATCTGCTGACCTTCAGTCTCCCAGCTCCAACTGCCAATTGAACATCTCAAACTGGGAGTCCTGGAGACACCTTCCACTCAATATGTCCAAAATGGAATTCATTATGTCTCACTCCCTCAACCTTGCCCTCTTCCTAATTCCTCTATAACTGTCCAGGTACCACCATCCTCCCAGACATCCAGGCTTTCAGCCTTGGTATCATCCTCAATTTCTTAATCTTGATGTCTCCCCCTATAATTAGTATGTTGCCATGTTCTGTCAATTTTACCTTCACAACCTCTCTGGTATGTACATGCCTCCTTCCCACTTAACACTGCCACCACTGTGGTGTTGGCCCTCAGCCTCCTTATATGTGGACTCTTTATAAAAAATATTTTTTCTCCCAATTACATGTAAAAAAAAGTTTTTAACATTTGTCTTAAAATTTTGAGTTCCAAATTCTTTCTTTCTCCCTCCTGCCATTGAGAAGGCAAACAATTTGATATAGGTCACACACACGCAGTCTTGCAAAACCTATTTCTGTGTTAGTCATGTTGTAGAAGACTACACAGACCAAAGCAACAGAAAACAAGAAAAATAAAGAAAGTTAAGAAAAAGCATGCTTCGATGTGCGTTCAGACTCCATCAGTTCTTTCTCTGGAGGTGGAGAGCATTTTCCATCCGAAGTCCTTCAGAATTGTCTTAGACCATTGTATCGCTGAGAATAGTTAAGCCATTTACAGTAGATCATCATACAGTGTTGCTGTTACTGTGTACAATGTTCTGGTCCTGCTCATTTCACTTGGCATCAGTGCGTGTAAGTCTTTCCAGGTTTTCTGAGAGCATCCTGCTCATCATTTCTTATAGCACAATTGTATTCCATCACAATCACATGCAACACCTTGTTCAGCCATTCCCCAATTGATGGACATCCCCTCGATGTCCAATTCTTTGCCGCCACTAAAAGAGCTGCTATTCATATTTTATACCTGGCCTCTTGAAATAGCATGCTGGTTGGTCTTTCTACTTCAAATC